TAACATTCTGTGATTCTGTGAAAAAACAGTCCTCGGTTTTCTAACACAAGGAAAGGGGGGAAAAGGCAGATATAGGAGCCAATTAGCCCTATATAATAGGGGCAAGAAATGAGAATAAAACTAAATGAAACATGAAGAAAATGAAAACTAAGATAGTCAGCAAGGGCCGAGACCTGAAGTCACTGAGACACACCTGAACACGTAAGCTGGAGACAAAAATGTGGTGTTCCCAGGGTAACCCCAAGTTGCATCCCCTGGACCTGGGGGCATGCAGCACATCCTTGCTGACTGGAGGCTCTCTTCTGCTCTCCTGAAGCAGAGCTTTTCCTTCAGCCTTGTCGATGACTGCTGCTGGAGGCAACTGCTGTATGTCTTGCTCTCTGCAGGTTTGCTCCCATGTTGTGGTTTTAAACTTGGCTTTTGGCCCTATTCAGTCCCAGTGTGAGGCAGGGAGGGTGTGGGAGAGCAAAGCACCCGTGTGCCATGAACAGATGTGGACCAGTCAGCACACAGAGCTGGTGGGGAAGGAGGTGAGAAGAAGGGATTGATTTTCTCCTTCAACCCCCTGCCTAGAACCTTGAATCAGCCTGTGTGGTCCCAGTCACACCACAGTGGGACAGCCAAGCCCCTCACATCATATTTTTTCTCCACATTATGGCTGTTTGCAGACTCAGCTGGTTGTATGCTAATCATGAGGCAACCTGAGGTAATTTAAGAAGCTTTTTCTTTGGGGTTTATCCCTTTCAAGGAGGTGCTGAGCCACTGCATAGTCACCGCACTGGCAAACAAACTGGCTGTTATGGCACTCACAAAGAAAGCCAAGGATGCTCTACCTTGGGGTAGAGCTAGGGAGAATTGCACCTCCCTAGCTGGAGCTGTGACAGGCTGATGATGCCTTCACAAACCTTGAGCAGTTTTGTCTGCTCACAGCAGGTCACAACTTTGTTATGTTAAACACTCTCCCTCCTCTCCCAGAATAAACTCTTAGCGTGCTGCTAAGATGTATCTACCTCTACGCTCCTTTTTGAAGTATCTCATGGCATCATGGGACCTTGGGCCTCCTATTCCCGCTTAACTAACTCCTCTTTACTCAGCATTAACATATAACTTCCTAAATAATGCATAAGCTAATCATTGCTTATATTCCCTTGGACAAGAGGCAAGTAATGAATTCAGCACAAATCATTTGATGTACTGTCAGTAGGGCAGCTGAATAATGGACCCTATTAATAACACTAAACTTACTTGTCACTCTGTAGGATGGCCCTTGTTTGGTACAGGATTATTTGAGGCAAATACTCTAGTAAAAACATTGAAAGATGAAGGAAGGGTGGCGGGAGAACATTAAAGTTAGCTGGTGACCTAAATATGTAGCAATATGTATACCAGACTTGGAGTCTTACAAGCGTTGGAAGCTGAGACACAGCGCTATTGCCTGTCAGAAGGCTGAGCCAAACCTCTCCAGTCCTCCTTGCCCTCTCCTTAAAGCCACACTTGGAGTTCATTGGGTAAAATACAATTCTGTCAGCATAAGGGCTGATTTTACTTGGGATTCAGGGAGACTAAAAAAAAAATTTATTAAACCCACTGGGTTATAAAAAAAGGCTCATTTGCAACATGTTTTGTTCCTCACAGAGGACAGGGTTGCTGGTAATTAGTCACCACTATAGGGGAAATTATAAGGGAAAATGTTGTGTAGCCACAGGAAGGCACCACCAGCGATGCCACAGCAGGTTGCCTGCATCCAGCATGTGTAGGAGCAGCAGCTCACACTGAATTCCTGCAGGCTTTCGGCTGCAGGTGTTTGATCCTAAATGTGGCAGCCAGCAATGCAACTCAACAGAGTATGGGATGCTGCCACAGCCTGCCCCACACCAAATCCTGGGAAAAAACCATGCCTGTGTTGAGTTGTCAGTTTAAGGCACACACAGGTAGGCAGGAGGCCCAGGCTGATGCTTATTGAAGTCAGAGCAAAGCCTTGGGGTATATTTACTACAAGAAATGGAGCATCATCACACTGCCTGAGCTGGTAAACACAAGCTTGGCCTCATAAAACTGCAGAGTGCAGCTATAGCACAGGCACAGGTCTGCAGCATGGAGCCCTGCTCGCACAGGGCTATTCCCCAGCCTGAGAGACTTGCTTCTTGGCAGAGTTACTGTATAATTTCCAGACCCAAACTTGCTTGTCTCCAACTATCTTGATGCCAAGCTCCCCATCCTGGACCACCCCCTCCCAAAAAATCAATGAGCCCAGCAGCAGAAAGTGTGAACTTTTGACTCTGATAAAGCACTTACGCTGGCACCAGGGATTGAACAGGATGTAAGTGTCAGTTCCTGAGTTTCTGGGTGTCCGGAGGATGCCGAAGGGAGTCCAGACAGCAACGTACAGGCGAAACTTCCCAACGATGCAGGTGGCAGAGGACATGATGGACAGGCGAATGGAGTTGTTCTCCTTGTGGGTAATCTTGGCTCCCCATTCGCCAGGTTTCAGCACATCACTTAGTAGGATCGGGATGTAGGTGCCTTTGTTTTGCTGTGGGTAGCGACCTGGAGAGAGAGGGCGGGGATAACTCTGTGAAGAGGTTCATTTTTGTTTGACAGTCTCACTATTTCCTGGCAGTCCTCTATCCCTTTGTCTATTTTCAATGGAAGTGGCAAATTTTAGTGGGTGGAAACCACCTACCACCCTCAGAGCTTCACAGAGTGTCTGGTCGCTTGTCAGTACAGCCACATGAATACATGCAACACTCCCAAGCAGGCAGCCATCGCAGACACCCCCACCCATCTTGCTCCAGCAAGCTTCAGTCTCGCTGGCTTGGGCACTGCCAAGAGCATAGTGCAGCCCTGGCAGCATGAGCAGGGGCTGTCTTAGGTTTTCCTTGCTCACCACTGTTTATCCTGTTGCAGCAAACTGCACTCCAGCTTGCTCCTTGTCTTGGTGTCAGCTACACGGTTGGCAAGTATAGGTAAGAGCCCCTTCCCTAGTTCAGATGCACCCACCATCCTCGTCGCTAGCACTCAGGTGCCCGCTGGGACACAGACAGTAGCTTTGGGGCTCTTTAGCAGAGCGGAACCTCATTCCTCTCACTGCTCTACCACCCTGATAAGCAGAGACCAAGCACTCTTTCATGCAAATCCACACAGATGGAGGAAATACAAGTCAGTCTACCAGCAGACACCTAACGTTCAGTTCCTCCTGAGTGTCCACACCTCATGGATGGAGTGGGAACCAACTCTGGACACCCAGACTATACATGGGCAAATCTGGGCTGGATAGCCAAACTTTCCCTGCAAGCAATGGGTCCCAAAGTATGACACACCTCCAAAGTACGACACACCTCCAAAGTACCGCACGACAGTCTAGTGCTAAGACAAATCACACCCCAGAGAAACTTATTTTACTCTGCCAACTATAAAAAGCATCTAGATGGATAGGCTACATATAAACATGTATGATGGCAGGCATCGAATTTGTGTGAGGATCCACTCTTTGAGCCTGAGGTAGAGCCAAACTATATCTGGAAGCCAACCAGCAGCGTAGACAGAAAAGACACTTGTGAGAAGGCTGAGTTCCTTATCTCATTCTCAAATCTATTCTTCGTTTCATATTTTAGGCTGAAATTCAGACTCTCATTCAAAAATAGGGTAATGAAAAGCAACGATGGTAGACAGTGAGACAGACTTCTATATTTTTCATTCCTACTATTTAAGAACTTCAAAATTAAACACGCAAGGGCGTTGATTTCCCTCTTGCTTATTTTTATTCAGCTGAGGTAGAGATAATCCCTGATCTGAACACTGTTACACTCTGGGAAAGAACAACTCCAGCTTTGAATCTGAAGCTTGTGAGTTGCCTTGACATCCATGTTTCTAAGAAGTCTGTGGCTGCTGTGCTTCAGCCAAGAGATTATTCGATGCACACAGATTTCCATTTTGTAGATGTTCAGTGCACATAAATAGCCCACTCTGCCCTGTTGGCCAGGGATGCTGTAAACCCATGAAACCCATTCAGATCAGTGAGGGATGCAAGAGAAGGGAAATACCTACAGAAAAAAAAGGACTAGAACAAGAGAGCAAAATCAATAAGAAACACTAGAAGATAAAGCACTGGACACTTCAAACATAAGCCATCAAATGAAAGCCAGTCTAGAGAGAAGAGCCTATAAAGGTAACAGAGGTGAGTTTTGCACCTGCTAACAATTATGATCTGAGAGCTGAACACATTCTTGTTCTTTGTAGTGCAACTGGGTATGACCCAGCTTGCCTTTACAGTTTATATTTTGGTTCTAGTTTTTACATAATTGTTTTTTTTAAAAAAAAGCAGTACACAGAAACAAAGCAGTAGAGCAAACCAAATAATTGAACTGGCATCCTCGAAAACCTTTAACAAGTACTACTTTTTAAAATACCTCCCTTACCTCCTTCAGAAAGGTGGGAGGGGGGAGGGATTACTATTTTAACGTGGTTAGGAACTGACATGGTTATCTTCACTAGAAGCAAGGTCTTTTCAGCCCAGAGCCCATGCATGCCCCACACAGCTGCTCCCATGCAGTAAGAGAGGCCACTGCACTGTCTTGCTCACCCACGAGGAAAAAGTGCTCTGGTGTATAGCCTGCATCCCTGCAGACATAGCAGGGATGCCAGGGAAAGGATATCCTAGAAGTCAGGATAATTCAAAGATGTTACAAGAGAACATTGTTTGCTTCTGACAGATGAACAGGGTTTGGTGCTCACTAACAGCTGTATAAATCCTGAACACATGAGGAAGCCTGGGAAGATGGGCAGAACCCTCAAAAGCACAGTGAGCAACATCCAACATTTTCTTTGAAGAGAGGACAGGTTTCCTTATCTTCTGAAACAAAACCCAAAATGCAAATACAAGAGCAAGGAAATTATTACTTCTGACAGGAGTGTGTGGAGCTGAATTGTAATCACACATCTAGACACCTGACAGCACCTGCCACGCTAGTTTCATATACACGCATCTGTTGTCTTGATACTAGAGTGCTATAAAGCTGAAAACCTTTGGAATTACACGCTAAGGGTGCTGGCAGAAGAATCCTTACATAAGTTCATTACTATGTTTATCAATGCTGTAGGGAAGTCCTTGCTTGGCCATTTGACTTTTATCTGCATCTTGAGCACACACTTCTGTCTGCAGTGGAAAAGTAGGCCCAACTTTGGCTTATAGCTGGGATATCTGTAATGTCAGCCCTTTCTCAGAAGGGATAACGTGCAATGGTGATTTCATTCTCTGGGTTAGAGTCTCTAAGGAAGAAGATTCAATGTTGTCAAAAGACTCATTACCAAAAGCCTGTGGACACCTGGCAGAGCACTCTCAGCAGGATCTCTGGTGCTAACCCAACCCATGGAGAGGCAGGAGGGTGTTTGGGTGCATGTCAGGACCAGAAGCCATACAGAGAAGATAAACTGTTTGTGCTGACAGGAGGGTGCTTCTGCCAGCAGCATCAGCTGGCTCAGGATCCCTCTCACTCTGTTTTGGGCCAGGAGCTGGCAGCCTGAGCCATGCTCTGCAGCCAGTTCTTTATGGTTGCCTCATTCCCCACGTGTGCTTTGGGTGTAGGAGGCCCTGGACCTCACTCCAGAACATTTTACAGCCAATTGCTTTGTGAAAGACAAAGTCGTTGCGTGACATCACACTGTTGGGATGTCCCTGTCTGCTCTGTACAACAGCACATGGACATGGGAAAATCCAGCCTGAGAATGTGGGAAGTCTGGAGGTTGCTGCACTGTTACCACCAGGCACAGGGTGGATTTTTCGTAGGGTCCTTTTGCAGCCCAGAAGATATGAGGCTCAATGGGGGCTGCTGAGTATCTTGCCTTCGAGGCAGGAGAGGACAGGAGAGAATTCACAGTGGCCCTCTTTCATGGGCCTCCAAATCTCTGCATTTTAGTGCTAGGTACTGAGCCACAATACCACCAGAAGACACTATTTTTACAGAAACCTCCTTTTACAGAGGTTTAATGGCCCAAACATACCTATTTCCCCTTCTTCACAGTGCACAGGCCTGCAACCCTTTGGTACTTCTTTCTTATCCCACCTTGGTGCTGTAGCTATCCCAGCTGGGCTCCTAAAGCTCCTGCTTGCTTCAGCTGCAGCTCAGCTCTGCTCTACACCTCCTGGGCTTTCCAGGCACCCAAGAAAAGTGGAGGAAAATACCTGCTATTGCTTTTAAAGGAGCTCAGGTCTCCCTCAGTGCTGCATCACAAGGCTTTGAAAGTAAGTGAACACGGGTGAAGATCTACATGGTGAAACTCATCATGGCTGAAGCATGTGTGGATGTGGGCACGTATGGGATGCTCCTTACCACACACATGCACACCATACAGAGGCAAAACCAGAGTGCAGGGTTTTTTAAAGCTCGACAAAATCTTATTGATGCAGTAGCAAAAGAATGAGCTGTCTAAAACACAGAACTGTGGCCACACACACATGCATTCAAAGTGAGTTATTTTTAACACATGCCTCAGCTCCTTAGCGTGTCAGCTCTGGGCCCATCAGGTACGGAGGCAATCTATGTTTAATTCTGGGTAAAACTGACACACCACAGAGGGATTTACAGCAACAGAGAGAGAGCGAGAGATAGGTACAGCAAGTTCAGTCAGCAAAACACGAGCACTCCTCCTCCAGCTATCCAAGTCTGCTGCTGTTCCTTCCAAGTGACTAACAGGGACCAGGGCTTGCTCAAACCACACTCCTCCTCCTCCCCAGTCCCTGGAAGCCTCTGTTTCCATCTAGTTTAGTTTTTTCCTTGATGCCCAGTGTAGATACACATTGCTGTGTGTGGGCGTGCATTAAACAGCTCCTAAATGCCACGGCTGAGTTAGCAGCCCTACACAAGCGAGTAGACGCCTTACTTTCAGCAGGGAGGAGGGGAAATTTGGTAGCACAGGGATGAGAGTTATAGTGAGCTTCCAAGGACATTTCCTCCTTGATGGAAGTAGGATACCTCAGAAGAGAGGAAGGTGAACAAAGCTATTTCTCAATAGTCTTTTTAGGAACCCTCCTTAGAAGATTGTTGGACAGACACTGCACACAGTAAGGTAAACAATTTTCCTGTTAGGTTCATTTATGTAGACGCACTCTTTCATACAAGGGGTAAAGAATCTATTCCAATGCCAGCCCTGGAAGTATAATTGTGACAGGCTGATAAATAAATTTGAGCTGGAAACCACAAGTACAGTAGCTGTGTAGCAGAGGTAAGCCTAACTGTAGCAAGCAGCCCGGGGATGGGTGTTAGCATAGCAAGACTATGCCTTATTAATCACTATGAATAACTACAACAAATGTCAGGAAAGGAAAAAGGGAAAGAAGAAAAGAAAGAAGGAAGAAAGAGTGAAGAAAAAAACCCAAGAAAAAGTAAAACAAAGAAGAAAGAAAGAAGAGAGATGTTGTAATAAATTCCTGGACAATCAAAACAAGCAAGAAAGATAAACAATTTTTTGTAAAATCCAGTAGCGTCTTTAAGCCACTGCTTTAATATCTCATCTGGGTTCCTCCCACCTTCAAATCCCATTGCCTTGAG